TTCCTTATGCTACCACATAGATTTTTTTCCGTTAATATACTAATCTATTTTGTTTAATTTTTATTAGTACTTAAAAATTTTCTTCAAATAAACACACGTTTTAAGTAATTGCTAAGTTTATTTTTCGAGTTTCAGAACTATAGCTAGTCAGCTAATAAGAATTTAAGAATATTTTCTATATTAAAATTACTCAGTGCAAAACGTAGTGATCATAGTAAATAAGTGCACCCTTTTCTCTAAGATTGAACAAACAAATTACTTATTTATTTACTTTATTTTTTCTTATTTATTTGGTTTGTGAAAAGTAAATACACATTAGCGCAACTCAAAAAACCACAACTGTTTTCTTTCTTTTTTAAATGAGTGAATTCGAACCGCAATTTTATTTTAATATTTAAACTTATATATTACACCTTTAACATTAAGAAAGCTATTCATTTAGGAAAAAATATGTTGAAAAAATTTACTTTCCTTAAAATTATTTTTCAACTTCAGCTCAATTTCCAAGATATTTTTATAGCATAATTTGTTATGAAATGCCATATTTTGTTAAACAGCAAATACTAAAAATTGAAATTTGTAAAAGGATTTCGTAGCCGTGTCAATTTCAGAATCATCATCGGATTTGAAAAATGTAATAAAAAATACGCAATTTTCGAATTTATTTTAATAAAAAATAACGCTATGAGAGGGTTATACTTTTTGCAGAAACTGTGAATACCAATTTTCCTATATTTCGTCATATGAGGATTAAAATGATATTATCCCAAGGAACCTACTCAATAACTTCGCTATTTCCAGAATTGAAATCAGTTTTGACGAAACATATTTGCTTGAAAGCTAAACGAGAAAAAATTTAACTATTATTATTTATCTAAACTTATTCCATTAATTTAATGATAGCAGTATCAAGGTTAAGGATATGGGACGGAAGCCCCGTTTACTATTAAACTGTAAATGTATGAAATCATATAGCTTGAATAATTTATTTTAAACAAATTATTTAATAATTTTAAGCAAATAAGCGTGTAAAAATAAACTCGATCGAAATATCCTAAAATATAAGTAGAATAAACTTTGGAATCGATAGATAAAAAATACCTTTTCAAACAACTGCGAGTAGAACGGAAACGCTAACTTGTTTGAAATAGCTGTCCTTGTAACTATTTCATTTTGATTCCGGGCATTCCAGCAATCGATCTTTGAAATTTCAATTGTAAATAGAACTTTTTTATATCCTTAAAAAGTGTTATTAAGGCTATCAGTAGATAAAAATTGTACTGCATTGATTTTTTTCGTGTAGTGACTAATTGCTATTTTTTTCAATCTAAGAACTTATGCATTTATCTTTACATAAAACTTACTTTAATATCGCGTGAAGTAATTTAGTATACTGTGTTACTAAATTAATAATTTCATGAAACTTTATCGAAAAAATAAAAACTTCATTGTTTTTTTTTTAAATAGATGATAATAAAAATAGACATATTTTCAGCTTCCGATAGTTAACGTCACTAGTCATTCACGCCTCGCGAGTCTTGAAAATAGGCGCCATTTTTTATAGCTCTAAACATGTCGAGTTTTATTTCCCTTTTATATTTTTTGAAGCTAGAGCCCCTGAATTAGACTTAGTATAGTAGCCTTATTTGAAGCCAATGAAATTTTTGAAATCACACTACGTCACTTGTAGGTATCCCACTGGAAAAAGGTTACATCGAGCTCACGCGTCACGTTCACTATAAATGTGTAATTCTCGCCTCCAAAAATGCCAACGTTAGCACACTGTATCGCAAGCAGTTTGTGTTTCGTGCTTCTAATAAATCTACCCGATTTATATATCAAAGCTATAAAAATAACTTAAAATTCTAAAATAAATATCTTCGTTCTATCAAAACAACCATTTTATTATAAAACTTTAGAACAACAATCTTTTTACATTGCCACTCGAAATTATTAATATGCACTCGATAATATTGTGTTAATGATAATTTTGCACTTTTATATACACTTTTTACTGATGACGTCATAAATAATCGTTTAAATAAAGTTTAGCTCATAATAATCATACATAATCGTTAAATAAATAATCGTTTGGTCCTTTTATAGATTTGCATAGCAGTTTATATACATTGAAAAGTATTTGTTGTTCTCTTCTTCAGCGCTATACGGTATCAAATGAAGCATAAGTTCGCTTTTAAAATATCGACGAGTAAGTATGTTTTAGTGGTGTTATAAGGATAATTATATTTAAATTTTTAAATATCTGTAAACTGTATTAAACAATTTTATAATATTTACTTTCTATCTGCATCCGTTTGTTAAGCCTATTTCGAATTCATATCAATGTTCTCTCTGTTCTGTGCATATGTCTGATAAACAAACTGATTTTATTTTAAAATATGTTTCAAAAATGCATCCTAAATTCATGACTCTTGCATTGTATTGTATCACGAAAATAACTTTCCTGATTGCTGTGTGTATCATATCTTACTGAAATTATAAAGTATACTGTTACGGTATCAAAAACATGGTGGCGGCTACTTTACACCAAGAAGTAGTATTAAAAAAAAACTTGATGTTTCAGTAGGAATTGCCCTTTGCTCTTGGTGTAGTCAAATGCCATTTTCGTATAAATCAATTACCACTATTTTAGATATTTAGAGAAACGAAAATTCTTTACAGTGTATGAGTACGTTTAAGTGATAATAGTTTAGTGATAATAGTTAAGTGATAATAGTTTTGATTATAAAATTATACTTTACCTATAAGTTTCCTTTTTTATTAAATATAATGGATCATTAATTTTGTTAAAAGTATTATTTTGTTTATAAAGATCGTATGTGTTACAAACATATTGCATTAAATATTGCACAATATCGTGAATTTATAAATATATTGGAGTTCCAATTGCAACATTAATCGAGTTCATGGTTACCAAAAATTTAGTTTTACACGTCTTAGCTATTTTGAGTGTACTATTTTAAACGTGTAGAACAGTATAAAAATGAAATAGTTTTTTTTAAAGTTATTACTAGCTTAATACCTGCTCTTTAAATCTAAACTACACGACTCAACAAAATCGTGCATAAAACGGTACGACAATAATAAAGACCTACACAAATACAGAAGCTAAAATAATTCCAATTTTTTTGTTTATTATTTTTTACCCTTCTTAGTGGATTTACGTTATTAAATTATGCAAAACATATATTTAGTAATTCATATGATCAAAATAAAGATTAACTGTATTCAGCATCATGTGGCATAATGCTGTTGCTCCAGGCAACTGATATGATATTTAAAATTTACCAAACTCAAGCTACTTTCTCCATGTGTTATATTTTCGAGGGTCGTAATGAATTAAGAATATAAATGTAAAATATTGGAGAGGCTATAATCTCCAAATTTACTAATAAAATAACTTGTACCTACATATATTTCGTATTATTCACATTTTAAAAGCATGATTATTAACAAAATAAACACGTGGTTTTAGATAAACTAGATATTTACCTGGAGACGTAGTCTACTTACTCTCAGGATCACGGTGATCATTCAGATATGGCATAACGGATGAAAAATAATTAAAAATGCAGAATAAACTAACATTTTTGATTAGAGCTATAAGCTATGATATATCATTGGTGGTACCTTTAAAATATTTGACAAAACTTTATCTTTCATAGTTTACTTTAAAACAATTGCTTCCGCTAAGCCAATGAGAAAATTCCATTTAAATGCCTCTGAATAAAAAATATAGTTAAAAAATAGCTTTACCATTTGTTTACAATTCGCACTGATTTTACTTTACGTTAAATGTTCTATTTTTAGAGCGTACGGTTTACTTGCAATCCGGTATACAGACACACTAAGACAAGCAGGAACTCTCAGGAACTATTAGACTGATTTCGCTCAAATTTTGCATTTTGCCGTTTAAAATTACCTTTAAAATGAAGCAAAAAATCTTTGATTTAAAATTCAAAATATTTTCGACTATTATTAAATAAAATAGTGAAGAATAATAAACACATACTAAAAGTTATATTTTGCATGGAATAATCTTAAGACGATTAAATTTTGTTATTGGGAGCAAAATTTTTTAATTCGCTTAAAAATTTCTCGAGATATGGCGAAATACTCAGAAAGTAATGGCTCAGGGGATAGAGCGTTCGCCTTCAATTGAGATGAACCGGGGTTCGATCCTGGCGATGGCTGGTCGATACGAATTCCGCATCCGGCTTGCACCGATCACAGTGCTGACGTGAAATATCCTCAATGGTAGGCGGATCATGGGTAATAGTGTCCTTACCATCAGGCTAACCGTGGGAGGTTCTTGTGGAACTTCTTGTGGAAATGCGGGTTAGTCCCATTAAAAAGTCCTCCATGAAGGCAAAATTGGGTCGGCTGTTCAACAACGGTTATAAAAAAATAAAAAAAGGGAAACTAACATTAAGGGGACCAAACTTTGGAGCGCTCTCCTGACCAAACTAGTGGGACCATATTTCCCAGATTTCGGCTACCCTCCTGTATTTTGGGGGTCAAAAATCGGAATCCATCTAAAAAAAGATATGTTTATTCAGAGAAAGTATGTTCTTATATGCAAAATATCGTCTGCACTTATTAATTAGCATATTTGAGGTCACCACTTTGAGCCATAAGAATTGAGTCCTAGAACATGAAGATCCGATCATGAGGATCAAAAGTTATTCAAGGTGGCACGTTTTCTTTTTCTTGTTTTTTTTGTGTGCGCTGCACATATAGGTAAAGGTGATCAATACATATTTGACGCATTACAGGAAAACCGTTAAATATTTAGAGGATACTTTATAGAATAAGAGAACAAACATCAAAAAATTCGGCTAGATTACTTTAAAGAAGAAATTTAGGTAGACATTTAGAAATATTCTTATTCCAAAAAAAGTTTGATAATTTTTGTACAAATATTTCTATAAACAAATTCAAATATAAATAAAGTAATAAGGGAGCAAAATATTCCTTACCAGAAAAGAGCAAAAAAGCAACTAACTGCAGCATATTCTTCATTATCAAGTAAAATCTGTTAAAAGTGTTCGATGTTATCAACTGTTTTCGCTTTTTATCATTAATCAATGCGGGTTGTTTCATAAAGAACAAATAAAATGAGATTTAACGCAGCTTAACCTTCTATGATAAAACACGTTTGTATTGAAAATCGAAGTTTATTAGAGGAATAGCTTACTCCGCGAGAACTTCATGGAAGGTAGGCCTAATTCTGCAGTTAAATGAAAATGAAATATTTTTGAGAAAAAAAATATTTTTGAAATTGCTTAAATGATAGCTCTATTATGAACAAAAAAACAACTGCTATAAGGAAAAGATTGGGTATGATAAGATTTTGCGGAAATTACGTGTTTCAGGATAAATCTTTAGAATCAAATTCTTAAAACAATGAGTGAATCAACAATCAGTCAAGACATTTAGAAAAAAAAAACAAGTTTTTTCTTATTTATATTTTTGAGAAGGACAAATTAAATGTTAAAAAAAAAATCTTAAAGAGCAATGTTTAAACGGAGCAGTTAATCTAAAGGATCACAGAACATAGCTGTATCAATTGAGTTGAGATGGGAGAAACGGCAAAAATAAAATAAATAAAGTAAGTTAAGATTTAAAAAAAATAAGTTTCATTCTTCGCTTCTGACAATTGGGTACTTGCACTTCAAAAAGAAGACGACCAATATCCAAATATGTAAATGACGTCACAGTTGACGTAACGTTGAGTTAATTTAATATGGAGCCGTATCGCACGTCGAATTTGTTGAAATATAATTCTTTCTCGTCTACTAAAATTAGATTTATTATCTGTTTATGCATTTTATTGCAACCGTAATTACTTGGCTTACTCGAAATAGAATTGTAAGAACAGTTGCTAACGTAAACAAATGTCAAGTTTCAACAGGTAATCGGGATCAACTACATCACTTGCAGGTATTGCATAGGCAGATAGTAATATTGCCTTAAAATGTTAAAATTTGTGTATCTAACAATTTAAAACTTTTGAAATAAAATACAATAATCATGAAATATTTTCGTTAAAATAATAAGTAATTATTTAAAACTACTTTTTGCATCGAATCATCATTGAACAAGCGAGTTTCATAGTTGGATGCAAAAAGTTTTCAATTCGCTAAAAAGGCTCTAGAGATATGGCTAAGTTTGGATAAATAGAAACCAATGTAAGGTAGCCTAAATTTTCATCCGTGATCAAATTATTGAGATCATATTTTTCAGGTTCTACATCCCATATTTCTGTTGATCAAAATAGGTAATAAATGTATTGAAAAAAGGCATGCTTTTTTAGAGAAAGTTTATCATGATTTCGTAATTTAACTAAGCACCAATGAATTAGCATGTTTCCTATCAACATTTTGAACACCAATCTTAGTGAGTGAAAACCCGATAATTAGAAAAAAAGTTATTCAGAATGATATCCATTTTTTTCAGTGTATTTGTCGCAAGTTCACATGTTATCAATCTTACTTGTTCGAGGAGAAGATTATTGATTAATTTTATATTGATTATATATTGATTATTATACTGATATATTGATTAATTTTGAGTATACTATATTTTAAATTACGAAATTAAACATAAATATAAATTTTAAGAATAGACAAACGCAATTTGTCTCGGCAGATTTGAATTATTGATCCTCAAAATGTAAGAAGTAACTGGAATTCGAAATGCGTGCTTTCTTATTACTTTAGTCAGAAGAACCTTCGAAAATTTGACACTTTAATATTAAATTTTTTCTGCGTATTTTGCACTGCCTCTGGAACTATTTAAACTATTAGTGCACGATAAAATTTGTTTATCAAAAAATAATTCCCTTTAAAAAATTCCGTTTTTTGGACATTGTCAACAGTGAATAATTGCAATGTAACAGCAATTCAGGATACTGCTGCTGCTATGAATTGCAAGTTCCTCAAAATTTGAAAGCTCATTTTAACAAGTGTAATTTCTCCTAGAAATATAACTTCTGATTGTAGCATAAGCAGAAATATAGCACTCGTATGAATGCTATATTTCTGCTTATGGCCTCAGAATGGACATGAGAAATGATGTTGATATTAAACTCAACGGTGCGTTTGTTTTATTGATAATTTTTAGCTCAAATACAGAATTTGAAATAGCAGAATTATTCTTCAAAAAACTATATTTCTTTTTTTCCTCGAGAAACTACATTTGTTTTTCATTAAAAAAAACTGGAACCTCATTGAAAACCAAAGTTGGATATTAGCTTCCATTTTCAAGTTGCTTAGCAATTCAGACGAATGAGGTAAAAATCACTTGTGGAACAGTTTTAACACTTCCTCTTGAAAAGCTTACGAGTTTCTATGATTGATGAGTTCCTCGCGATCAATAAATAAGTAGTATGCCTCAAGAACAGACTCTAACCTACTTTTCTTCTTTTTGGAATATTCTGGAATATTTCTCCGCGAATTCCTTTTCCTGAATAACTTCCTGGTCCCCGTGCTTCTCTTTTCTGGCGACATCTGAAGGTATTACGGGGTAAAATATTGCTCCCACTTTCCGAAAACTCGGATCCCATTTTTCGTCTCGTCTCCAACTGATTAGATGAGAATGAAATAAGAAAATGGGTTTCTGTCACTTTCTGAAGGTTGAATTTGAATACCACACATTCGGAATGTAGCAGGTGTTACGTAATTACCGATGGTGAAGATGACGTGAATTGTAATGAACTTGGGATTATTGATTGTCTCAATTCCACAGATCGATAAACTCGTTTATTCTATTATATAATTATTGCAATTAATGATAATATAATTATACAGCTATATATATTATATATAATTATACAGCTATATATATTATATAATTATACAGCTATATATATTATATAATTATACAGCCCATTACTTAATTGCTTCATTATGAAACAAGATCTCCATTAAAAAGTTGTTAGTTGTCTACATTCCCATTTTATCTGCATTGGGGAATTCTCTTCCTTCTGCATCTTGAATTTGTCACATCTGCAAGGAAACAAATTTCGTCAAAATTAAAGGAATTTTTCCTCAATGTGTCTGAAACTTGTAGAACTCGGAANAAAAAAAAAAAAAAAAAAAAAAAAAAAAAAAAAACAAACAAACTCGTAGAGCCTAAAGTATCTGATTTTTCTACTAATCACTTCATCTTGGGCTCTATATAGGTAAATCAATGCCCCCCGAACAACACAAAAAAAAAACTGATAGAGATAAATTAAACATCAAATTTCGTCAAAATTAAATAAATGTTTTGTCAATGTGTCAGAAAATGTCCCCCGAACAACAGGAGAAAAACAGATAGAGATAAATTGCACCCCTGCCCAAACCGAGATTCGAACCTGTAATCTTCTTGGTAAGAGGCCAACTCCATTACCACCATACAAACCGGTCGGGACGTTCCGTCATTTCGAGGGTTTAGCCTTCATTCTAGATACTTTATTCTAGTTAACAATCTCCCACAATGCACTACGACGAGGTTTAGAGTTGAGAAAACATCTTTGTTAATTTTAATAGATTTTCTTTCCTTTAAATCATTCCTCTAGTATTCAGCCTAAAGTTCAGTTTTTGAAAAAGTATAGTATTTGAAATGCATTAATACGAGAGACTACAGTGATTTGACTTCCTTCCTTTCTTCTTCCTTGACTTTGGTTGAAAAATTCGAAAATGCATTGTTGTGGCGTCATAGAAAAGCGTTTTTGAATGCTAGTTCATGGTTCATATGTTACACCTTTTATATGATTCACTTGATTCACTTATTTCAGTTACAATTAATTACAATTATTTTTTCTAAAAAAATCAAATCTAATCATAGTTTATGTAAAATGTCATTTAGTAATAGGTTTTTTTTTGTTGAACATACTTTTGCAGTATATTTTTACAGTTTTCTGGCCTTTAACTGAAACTAACGAGAAAAAAAAATAGTGCTTTCCTACTTTCAATAAGAGGTAACAAAAAAAATTCCACTTCAATTTTTTAGAAGAAAAAAAACTTTTTAGGCTTCAAAATGTTTAATGGCTACCATTTTGATTGAGCCGTAATAAATTCTTTTTATATTCGAAGATAAAAACTGTCTTTAAAAACAGACGTTAGAAACATTTGAAAACTAATGGCATTTTTTTTAATAATATAATTCATTTGTATTTCACAAAAATTTATTCATTCAAATAATGTTTACGGATGAATGCAACAATTTGATGACCTTTTATAATAAAAAGAAAAAAAATCGAAATTGCATGCTTTTTTTAAAATAACATTATGTTTCATTTTAATTTTGAAAGAGATAGAGGTAATTAACTGATTACATACGTACCAGAGATTTGAAGGTGAATCATTTAATTTTGTGCATTTATGTGTGAAAACTATTTATTTAAACTTAACCCAGATATCCACAGTCTGTTACAGTAACGTCACAATTAAATCACTTAAAAAAATTATTTTAATATTATGAATTGGAAGAAGGAATTGGAATGTCTTTTCAATCCGTTTTTAAAATAAATGTATATGTTTACATTTTCATTAAGACTCATACTAATGTTTCAAATGATACACAATTTTTACAGTCACAAACAATGTTGATAAGATTTATTTCATTCAAAAATAGTATTGATAAGGAAGAAAAACGACACTTTCCTTTTTGATGAACACGTCAAAAATTGAGCATTTTTGTAATCTTTTAATTTTGAAAAAAAATTAATTTACTCAATTTGGATAAGTTTCTAGCAATATTTTTATGCTAGCACAAAAGATTTTTTTCAGGAAGAAAGGTGGATTAATTTTTAATAGAATATGAAGCGCTTTGCATTGAAGCATATATTGTGTCTAAGCACTCTAGGGTTTGTTAAATAATTTATAGTTTGAAATGTGTATTATAATTTGCGAAAACTTTTACATTTAATTTTGCAACTAATAAAAACGCGAATGGACACAATGTTAATACGAAAAAAAAAAGAATCATCGTATTGATATTTCATAGCAATAAGCAAACGATTTTCAAATCTCGACAGCTACCTTTTAGGGCGCCAGCTTTCTTTATTATTATTAATTTGGCGACATCTGAAGTTTGGCTCAAAAATTTAGAACAGTTGTTTTTTAACTCTTAGAATCACTAGTCGTTCGTAAAAGAAATAATTCAAAATCGAAATTTTTCAACTTAAGTTGAAAATGTTGTTCTTTCCCTACGTTCTATGTATTTTATTCACCTCTACGTTAAAAAGTATTTATTTCTAAAAGAATTGTTCTAGATATTTTCCACTCTACATTGAACTCAACAGTACCAATACTCACATCTCGCCTTATTTCATACGTTGAAAAGTGGTGAGGGTTATTAATTGATCGAGTAAGTAGAATTATTAAAAACTAACATTTCATTATGCTATGTGTATAAAACGTTCTATTCTTACTCATAATTCTTTGTAAAGTATGTAATGTTAGGTAAAATTTAATTATTCTCTTAATATTCAAACACACAGAATTCTGTATTTGTTTGGAGTGAATTAGTCCTAGTGAAACAAAAGATGGTAATATTTAATGTAAATAATAATTATCAATCTGTAAATATTTAATGTAAATTAGGGAACGAATATTCAGCCGCTATTCTGTTTGTATTCGGCCATTTTGCCGAATATTCGGTTGGTCGAATATTTGACCAAACTTGTTGCAAAGTATTATTCGGAAATTTCGTTTTCGAGAAAGTTTTTTCTGGGAAAAATTTAATAGATTTAATAAGGAATAATCTGAAATCGTATTTTTTGCTATACTTTGTTGGAAAAAGTTTTTTACACAGATTTGTTAGGTTCTAAAACTTGTTATTTTTTGTTCTGAAAAACAGTTGGAAAAGCGAAATTTGAAGAATTGAAATTAGATTACTTTATACTGAACCATGAGTTTTTTAATGCCGATTTCTTCTTTTTTATTTATATTCCAGCATGTCAATTCCATCACTTTTTCGACACTTTATAATTTAAAAAATGAGAACTTTTTTTTAAATTTCGTTTTATTTTTGTTTGTTTTTCTGATTTAACTAAGGCGAAGAATATTAGCAGAGCATTTTTATAGACTTAATTCTTTTATTGTCTTTTTTTTTTTCATTGGACGGTGAAACATAACTAGTAACATAGAATACTATGATTACATTAAAGTTACATTTTATGAAGTTATATGTTAATGTTAAAGTTGTATTTTTAGAATTAAGAACAATTTTTTTCTGTTTATTTTTTAATTTATTTTTCTTACTTCTCTTTTTCAGCAGCGTTTTTATTATGACAGCATTTTTTAATACCGTTTCAAATGAATGTTATATTTTTATAGTCAATTTTTTCTAAAAATACGGCAATATGAAAAAGTTATATTTAGCGTTTGTTAAAAAATTAAGAAAAATTTTTGTTTTGGTTTCTAGCTAACTTTTTCTTTTTTAAAAAAAACTTGTGTTTTATAGACGTTTTCATTATGACGCAACAATTAAGAGGGTCTATATAATAAGACTATCTCCACTCTTTTCTTCAAAATACGGTGTTTGGAATTTAGCCTCAAAATTTTCTTTCGTAAATTAAGATAGATTTTTATTTTTTCTGTTTTGCTTTTGTGTTCTATGTTTGCTTTTTATAGACTTTTTTATGATAGCCCTGCATTTTAAAAACCATTTTTTTATTTATAGAATCTGTTTTAATATTTTATATATAATTTTTTATCGGAAATTTTTTTTAGCATAAATTTTTGTTCAAGTATTTTAAATGTTTCTCCCTTCAAAAATCTTATTTACACTGTTTTTTTTTTTTTTTTAAATTTTGCTCAAACCGCGTTTTTTAAAACAAAATATCAAATATTTTAAGCCCTTCATTGACATTAACTAAGCCATTTCAAAGTTTTTACAGTAATTAATTAATCCATTGAATTGTTACTTAATGTTTTCAATAAACAATTCAAAAATATTTACTTTCCCTGAATGTTTTAAATATGCTTTTATATTACTTAATAGTTCCACTTAAAATGCAAATTAGTATTCAAAGTTTAATTTTGATTTTAGTAATAAGTTTAAGAGTGATTCCCATTCCCACATGAAATATAAAAATGCAACGCTTCATTTTTATTTAATTAATAACATTATTTAACTCTATGTAGGGAAGCCAACTAATTTTTCAAAATATTTTATTGAGTGGTTAACAATTAAATAATAAAGCTTAGAGAATTTTTGATAATTTTTCTGACATCTTAAAAGCCTTACCACAAGAAAGTTGAGCAACGTGGCTTTTTATATAAGCTTTCGATTTATTTACAAGTAGTGGTGTTCAAAATAATTTTAGATTAAATTTATAAAAGAAAGAATAATGTTTCAAAACTTAGCTACCACTAGAAGGAATTTTTCGAAAAATCTTAGAAAGTTGGCAGGCCTGTGTATGTGTGTGCAATTCTATATCAACGAAATTTCCTTTATTTATTTATTTTTGCCACTAGGATGTCTGCAGTTTGCTTATTAAAGTAACATGATGCATCATTAAATAAAAAGAAATACAGAAATATTGTAAGTGAGTTTTGAATATTTTTTAAAAATTGTTTTTTTAATACAAGAAAATGCATTTTTAAATTAATACAAAAATTTTATAAAATCAAAATACAAATTTTTTTACACTGACAACAGGAGAAATTTTAAACATATACCGAAAAGTAAAGAATAAAACTTAAAAAAGCAATTGATTTCCATTTATGTTTTTGATTGTAACGAGTATAACGTGTCTGTAACAAGATAAAAAGTTTCCCCAACTTTCATTTTAATAACTAGCTCAATACATAAGATAAATAATTTTAAAAGTAATATGAAAATGGATTTGGTGATGCGTTGTTTTATACTAAGCATTTTTAGAACATTTTGTTTACATTAATTTACTTTTATCGATAGTTTTCAAGAAATCTGTGGTATCTAAGCATCAAGGAACTGTATATTTATGCTTCTTTAAAGAAATGCAAATTCCCATTAGTATTTAAACTTGGGAGTGGAAAAGTTTCATAAGAATTTAATTTTTCTTTTCATTTATTCCTATTTAAACTAAAACTATTTATAAAATTTAAAAAAAAACTTTTAAAGAGATTATTTTAAACAAAGAAAAACAGGTTTGATATTTTTTATTTTTTAATTATTTGGTTTAAAATATATTTTCTTGTTAAGTATTTCCAAGTATCTTAATATCTAAATTATCTTTATTATCCTAAACATTTTTATTAAAGCTTTTTTTTCCTTTACCTATAATACAGCTAAGTTTTGATTATTTTTCAATATATGAAATTATTTCTGTATCAAAAATAATATTTGTTGATTTTTTTTAAAAAAATATTTTGCTATTCAGTCACCAAATATTCGGTTAAATCACTATTCTTTACATCTCTAATGTAAATAAAACCTCTTGTTAACACTCATATAAATAAAATTAATGTTTTGTATTTTTTAAAACAAATGAATTTAATGTAACTTTTATCTAAGCATTTCTTGAAATATTTGTTAGATATTATATCCCGAAATTTGTTATTCATCATTTAAACTAGTATAACTTAATTTTTTATAGCAAAAGATATATTTGAAAGACTTTTCTTTTCTGAAAATTGTATATAACTTAATGTAATTATTAAGTTTTGCATAATTTTATGACATTTTAAAATAATGAGAATTATTCTTTAGGTTTCTTTGAATTTTTTCAATGGTCAAATTTGACTCATTTTATAGCGGAGCAACGTATCCCATTTCCTGTGTTTCACCAAAAATCATAACATTTAATCTTCATGTCATATATAACATATATAACTACAAGTAATTATCCAGGTTCTAACTGCAGTGTTCTCCCTAAGTGTCTCTAGACGGACAGTCTACTCTGTCTGCCCTTTTACGAAAGGTAATGCACCGTCTTCGCTTTTTTTTGTAAAAAGTTCAATCTCTTTTTTCAAAAAAAAAAAAAAAGGAAAGGAAATGCTTTTTATTATATTATAATAAGAGATTGCTGTAGCAGAAATTTAATTTGTATATCACACGATGAAAATTATCGGCAACGAAACCGACAACCATATAATCGCAATCAGATCTCTCCAAAAATTGCTCGAAAATCCTAGTGTGACATTAAAATCACAGTTGTCCGAAATATCAGCAACCGCTGAGAGAAAAATTGTCTATTAATAAGAGCAACTCACACTTAGACCAATCAGATCGTTTGCTTTTTATGACGTTTCAATTCTATGTGATGACGTTTGCAAACGTATTTGATTTACTTTTCTTTCCTTTAAAAACATCGTTCAGAAAATAAGATAATAGCATCACATGAAAAAAAATAATAAATATTAGCCAAAAGTAAAGATAAGTAACAAAAAATGGTAAGCCTATTACGAGCACCGTTTCGGCAATTAAGCAACCCTATCGGCAACTCCGAATTGCAAAATTGCCTTTAGAGTTGACGATAGGTTACGTTTACGGTTGCTCTTTATTTTTCTCTCGTGCGATGACCGTATAAGAATACAATAGCTAACTACAAATTACTTTAGGCTAGAAGCAGGGCTGGGTTTTTGCCGTCAAAAACTGGTTTTTGACATGACAGTGGTAAAAACCGTCAAAAACCTACTGTTTTCTTGAATTTATGGCATATAGCAGGCAATATATTATTTTCACATAATTGCCTTTATAAATGAATGTTGTAAATGATTGCTATTGATTTGGCAACTATATACATGTATTCTTATCGAAGGATATACATTCATATAGAAATATTGTAATATACTTATTGAAAATAGTGATACTTACTTTTATCATTATAGCTTGCTTTGCAAAGGATTCAAAATTTTGCACTTCTTAATTGTCAGAAATAAACAAACAAACAAAAAAGCTTGGAACTATTAATAAGTTCAAGAACTAAAAAGAAGAATTTAAAATTTGGCATTTCTTAAATATTAGAAATAAGCTAAACAAAACTTTCAAAGCCTGTAACTACTAACTAACTCTAAGTCAAGAATGACTTGACATTCATCGGTAATGTAATATGCCAAACAAAATGATGCTTGGAAATGCTGAAAATTTTGTTTAGTATCCTAATATTTTACTTCAAATAGTATGTTTTGATATAATCATGTTGGGAAAATGCAAGAATCTGTTCTTAAATATCTTTTAACAACTTTTTTTCTAATTTTATTGCCCGAAAATTAATTAGTTTTAAATTATAAGCAGTTAAACTCAAAAATACAGTTTTACCAAAACTATGGGTTTTTGACATGACGGTAAAAATCATGGTATAAACCGGTAAAAACCGTCACGTGTCAAAAACTTGCCAACCCTGGCTAGAAGTGAATGTGCTTAAAATATTATTTCTC